TATATATATATAAATTGATTTCTTTTAACTCAATGCCATTTAGAAAGCATAGGGAAAAAGTGTAAAAAAAAATATAGGAAAATTGAAAATTTTAATTTCATATTTAATTTAATGAATTTTAAAAATAAGAGAGATCAAAATTATATCAATTTAACTTTTGCTAATTATTATATCATCAACAATTTTATATCAAAAATAAATTTTATTAATCTAATATGTTAAAATTTATAAAAATTAAACACCAATAAAAAAATTAATCAAGTTATTCATATTTTAATATAAACACATTCTTAATAGGTAGGAAATATTACATTGATCTTCTTTTAAAGATATATTTGTTTTTTTAAGTAATTACTTTTATCAAATGCCCATAACTCATTATTTTTTTTAGCTCAACACTTAATCGACAAGAACCCCTTTGATAAACAATATATTGCTACTAATAATAAAAGCAATAGTTTGCGATTGAAAGTAAACTGTTCATGATTTTGAATTGCAAATTTTGCCTTCCTATCAATCAAGAAGGATGCTAATGACAAATTTTTTTGAACACTCTTTTTAATGCACATTTTACTATTATTAGTTAAAATTTATTGCATCCTTACTCCACATTTGAAATATTGTATTTTCACTTCTTTAACAGTAAGAAAGAACTATGGATAAACATAGAAATAAGCATATATTGATGTTTGAAAAGAATAATAGTTCATTGTAGGCAGACGCAGAAAGTAAAATGAGTCTGGGCTCTTGCCAACTGTCCACTAAGGAAAAAGAGGTGAGTGATGATGAAAATGAAAGGGTGAAGGAGTCTACACACACTACTACAGTCTACAGTAGTACATGGCCTTTGATCAGATCAGAACTGAGACATTAATGAGAGGTCCATTTACTACTATAGTATAGGAGTCCGCGTTAGCGTTATTGAATGAAGGGATGCAAAAGAGAAAGCTGAAGTGTCAGTTTTGGCGTGCACAACTCAGCAACGTGCACCCCAGAAATTGAATGCTGTCTACACACTTTCTCACCTAAAATTAAAGACCAAAATGCATTAGGAAAAGTGTAACAAAGTGCCAATGTTGTTCAATCCTATACTTTGAGTTACACCACCACCACCTTATTCCCTCATTCATTCTTCTTTTTCTTTTACTTTTTCTTCCCTCAGCTTCTGCCTTCCGTGGCTGTCTTCAAACACTTTGGTGCATACACAAACAAACACACTGTCATGCACAGCACCAACACCTGTCGCACTGCTCCATTTGTCTTGTCCATCTTCTATTGAACTCCCACTGTGTGAGAGTCTCTTCTCACTGTTACTCTAGTGTAAGATCTTGCTTCACCATTCTCTCATTTACCTTTCCAATGCCTTTGTTTTTGTTGTTACCAACAGCTCCATGGTCGGTTATGTCATGTGCTGATATTCTGTTACTGTTTTTCTCTAAAAAAAAGATTTTTTTCCCTCTAAATTCAACAAAAGATTGGATTTTTTTTAAAGCAATGCGTGTAGTTGTTTATCTCTATATTACGGGTTTAAAAAATGGGGTGTTGGGTGTTGTTGGGAACTACACGCCACACGGAGAGTGAAGTTTGGTGGTTGTCATTGTGATTTGCAAGTTGATCCAAGGCCATGTGTGGTTGAGAGTTTTACAGCAGCACCACACAGCATAAAGTTATGATCTTGCCTTCATTATTTTACTAGATATCTGTGATACATTCTGGTGGATTCCTCAGATTTCAGCAGCCCAAGTTTGTTTATGATATATTCTTGCAAGTAGCTGATGCATGATTGTTCATTTCTATAATAACTCCATATTCGTGATCTTCTTCATTTATTCCATACTTGGCAAAAGATTCTTGCTGTCTACAGTTTTGGTGGTTTTTTCAACTGATACCGAGATGCTGTTTTCAGTTGCAGGTTTTCAAATTTCAACCATATAAAAGCAAGAAAAAAGCAATATATACGTGGTGGATTGGGAAGTTGGAGCTTAAAGGAGTAGAGGTAGAGGTGTGAATGTTTAAAAAAGAAAGAAACAGAAAGTGAGAGATAAAGAAATATGGGAAAGTGAGGTGGAGTCAGATTTGTGTCTCTGGTTTGAGAATTTTTTAGTGTTAACACTCTGTTGGCTATGTCCCCTTAGCTGACTCGGTGCGCCCGGGCTCCGTGGGCTTTGCCGCCGACCAAGGAAACAATCTCTTGTTGGACTCTCTTCCCATTTAAGAGAACCTTTGCTTAAAAAATTGGACTCTCTCTTTCATTCATTCATTTGCATTGTTTGCTGTCAAGATTCTCTCACACTCTCCACTATTTAACCCTTCTTTCTCCATAAACCCTTTCTTTTCTCTCTCAAAGCCAACAAACTTGGATCAATCTCACTCTCATCTAGGGATGTTTGGTGGGGCTACCTAGCTATGACTTGTTGGATTTTGTAATCAGCTATTGTTTGAGTATTGGTCAAACTTTTTCTTTTATTTTCACTTGAGTTGGCCTCAGCTGAGAGGAAGCAGATCTTACATTGTCAAGATGAAGTTCATGAAGCTTGGTTCCAAGCCAGATACCTTTCAGACTGATGGGAACAATGTTAGGTGAGTGAGATTATGTACTCTCTTCAATATACACTGTTGTTTGTTACTAGTTTTAGATGTGATATGAATTACATTTGTTGATATGTTGGTGTTGTTGTTGTTTCTTTTCTTTTCCTCCAAATATGAATAAATCTACATAAGCTGATAAGCATCACATGCATTCTCCCAATAGGGTCTTTCATTAGTCCCGGTAGTTTATTTTGTTGGTTGTAATTGAATCAATTTAGACAGTTCCTCTTAGATGAATTTCATTCTTCACGTGCTTTTCATTGATTAAGGAGAGGTTATTGATTTCCTTCCTTCTTCTTCCTCTCTTTAGTTGGGAACAACAACTTTAATCTTTTCCTATTCTTATCTGTGAATAGTTTCCACCTTTCATAGTGGCTACTGGTGATTATAATGTGTGGTATAAATAAAATAAAAAAAAGATAAAAGATAATGCTGGGAAGTGCAGCTTGTTAAATATTAGATTAGATATATGAACAATAACCAGGCCCTGTACCTGAAAGCTATTGGCCAATGGCATTCCTTTGATGCCTGCGCATTTTGCCGCCCTAGCTAGGACTCATACATTCCTTTGATGTTTAATTTATGTCTTTTTATATATTTGCCTCCACCCACTACTATTTATCCATTTTTTATTCAAAATATTGCTAAGTCTTTTATATGACTGATGTGGAAGAACTTAACAATATCCACTTGCATTTTCTATATTCTCTAAAACAGTAAAACTGTATTCTTGGGCATTGTCACATGCAAATTATGTTTATTTTATAACATACTGGCTACCCGTCCCCATTTTCAGTATCACTTTCATTAGTCTTACATTGTTTCAAATCCCTTTTAAAAGCTACATTGATTCATATCAACCATAATTTAGACATTACATTTTGCTACAGAACACAAACATTCAATATCCTAATAACTACATCTCACTGCAACTTTTGCTACAGAACTGCATCAATTATACAGAAAATTAGCCTGAATGAAGCTAATTAACTTTCATGCTGAATCCATATAGGGCCCTGAGAAGAAACTATTTGGAAATAGTTTGTAGTGTTGTTAAACAAGATTTCAGAAGCGATTACACATTAGTTGAATATCCTCTTTCCAAACAAAGGTTTTAGCATGAAGTTTATGATTCATATAGAATTAAATACAATAAGATTTTCCATGTTGAGTCTAGGATTTGAACATCAAAAAAAATTTCTCATCACTATTTCTCTTCATATTCTTCCCCACACAAATGATTAGACAAGTATATTCAGTGATTTCAGTCCACTTGTGATGCTGAATAAGACATTTATTAAGAGCTTAAAAGAAACTTAAGAAAAGGTAAAAACTTTAGATTCACAATCATTTTATAAATATAAACCAGCCACCATACTTTTTTTTCTTTTTTTGTTTTTCATTTTATGTACCCTCTTTTCCGACAGTTTTTTTCTCAGGATGCATTTCATGTGCAGGTATGTGGCAAGTGAGTTGGCATCAGATATCATTGTTAGTGTAGGGGATATAAAGTTTTGTTTACACAAGGTATTATTCAGCCCAGTAAATTATCTAGTCTCCTGCTGAGAATTTCCATATTGGCTTTTATTTGAGTTTTACAAGCCTCAAATCTCAATTATTTTTGGCAATTTCTGGACTGTTACTGTCAGAAATTCATGCTTTGATATTCTTTACCTAATATAATAATGTCTCAAGGGTGGGGATGGTTTGTTCTTTGATGTTCTTTTCGTGTAAGACACATATAATACATAAAAATAATAGCATTATTATTTCAAGATATTTAATTTTTTTAACATAATATGTTCTGTTTTTTTCCTTAACATTAACATGAACCCAAAGGGCACCTGGAAACAAAACTCGTGAAAAATCAATAAACTATTTGTTTACATACACGTTTCTATGATAAATTGAGTAATTCAGGCATGACCTTAATAGGGAATAGAACATGTAATGGCTGAATCGAACAGTTTTAAGTTTCATTTATTAGGAGTTTAAACTTGGTAGGTTTACAAAGAATCTGATTGAGCCATCATTACCTGAAAATCACTGTAGATGTTGGGAAAACATGAGCTAATAGTTACAACTTCCAAATAAACAGTTAAATCAATTTGGCTGCAAGTTTTCATTTTATGTTACTGATATATCAAATCCTTTGATGTGTAGTTTCCTCTCCTATCAAAGAGTTCGCACTTACAGACGTTGATCTCCCTCAACAATGAAGAAAATGTAGATGAAGTTCAAATTTCTGACATTCCTGGTGGTGCAAGTGCCTTCGAGATATGTGCTAAGTTTTGCTATGGGATGACTGTTACCCTCAATGCTTACAACGTAATAACAACTCGGTGTGCAGCAGAGTATCTTGGAATGCATGAGAGCATTGAGAAAGGGAACCTCATTTACAAGATTGATGTTTTCCTAAGCTCTAGCATTTTCCGTAGTTGGAAGGATTCGATCATCCTTCTCCAGACATCAAAGTCTATGTTACCTTTGGTTGAGGACCTAAAGGTTGTTAATCATTGCATTGAATCTATAGCAAATAAGGCTTGTGTTGATGTATCCAAAGTTGACTGGTCCTACACCTATAACCGTAAGAAGCTTCCAGAGGAAAATGGGATCGAGTCAAACCAAAATGGAGTCAGAACTCGACTGGTGCCAAGAGATTGGTGGGTTGAAGATTTATGTGAGCTTGAAGTTGATTTGTACAAGTCTGTGATTACAAATATTAAATCTAAGGCAGTTCAATCTAATGAAGTAATTGGTGAAGCTTTGAAAGCTTATGCTTACAGAAGATTGCCAAATTTCAGCAAGGGTATGATCCAGTGTGGGGATGTGTCAAAGCATCGGATAATAGTAGAAACTATTGTGTGGTTGTTGCCTACTGAGAAAGGCAGTGTTCCATGTAGGTTCTTACTCAAGTTATTGAAAGCTGCCATTTTTGTAGAATCAGGAGATAGGGCTAAAGAAGAGCTGGTAAGGAGAATTGGGGAGCAACTGGAGGAGGCGTCTGTAAGTGATATTTTGATTCAAGCCCCAGATGGGGATGCTACAATCTATGATGTTAGTACAGTACAGAACATTGTTAGACAGTTTTTTATGAAAGATCACAATGCTGAGATTGAATCAATTGGGGGTGGTGAACTTGAGGGGATAAGAAAACCTGGGATTTTATCAGATGCTTCAAAGCTGATGGTTGCAAAACTTATAGATGGATACCTTGCTGAAATTGCAAAAGATCCCAATCTTCCTTTGACAGATTTTGTTAATCTTGCTGAGTTAGTATCAAGCATCTCTCGGCCAGCTCATGATGGCCTTTATAGAGCTATTGACACTTATCTGAAGGTAACTGTTCTTGAAAAGATAATTCTGTGATTCAAATTGCTTATTTCATTTAAGATTCAATATAGAGTGTGCTTTACACTCAGGTATTTCATCAATATAGAAAAACTCTGCTCAACCTATGTTAATATTCTAGCTTCACCAACTAGACTTTGCTGTCTGATAGTGACACCCTTTTAGAAAGGTTTATGAGGAGGTAACTAATTCATTCCTTCTATTTTAATCTTGCTTTGAATTTCGAAATGCCACAGGAGCACCCTGGGATCAGCAAAGGCGAAAAGAAGAGGATATGCAAGCTGATGGATTGCAGAAAGCTATCAGTTGATGCATGCTTGCATGCGGTGCAAAACGAGAGGCTACCATTGCGTGTAGTTGTGCAGGTACTATATTTTGAGCAGTTAAGGACTGCTGCATCATCAGGTACCAGCACTCCTGACATACCTAGAGGAATCAAAGACTTGAACAATGAATCCAATGGAAGCTCAAGGTCAGGGACAACTAACCCAGAAGATGAGTTGGATGCTGTGGCAACGGCTGAGGAGCTGAAGGCGTTAAGAAAGGAACTTGCATCATTGAGGCTGAGCAATGGAGTTGGAAACAATGACAAAGATGGAGATATCAAACCCAGCATGGACAAGGCTGTCATTGGCAAGGTTAAAGGGTTGCTCAAGTCAAAGAAGTCTTTCATAAAGCTTTGGGCCAGCAAAGGGGGACAAGGTGAAAATAGTGGCTCGGACTCATCAGAGAGTATTAGTTCTGCTAACCCAGAAGAAGCCAAATCTACTCCATCTAGAAATAGGAGGCATTCAGTTTCATGAAAGTAGTTTGGTTCATTTTGTTGGCTTTTCTATTCCTGTTTCTTTTCTTTCTCTTTTTACTAGTTCACTATAACGACAAGATTCCAACACTACTGGTTTTATCTCGTTTTAATTGAGTAGAGTACATATAGTTTAAAATAGTAGAATTGTGAAGAATGGAAATCGTGTAATCCAAACATCTATCCTATCATTTAGTTCTTTAAACCACCCTGTGCACTTCATTGAAATTGAAATCTGCCAAGACTACAATCACACCCCATTTCTTGGTATAAACGGATAGTTACCACTTACCACTTCAATCATAGCATCTGTTACTGCAATGTATTTTGCTTAAAGTCTGACAAAGGCCTCGTGGTCTATTATTCGTACCTAATGTTTGAATAACCAAGAGTGTGCTAGAAAAGATGTGCAAGTAGTAGATTCGTCTACTACTTAAAATAAAGATATTATTGTGGGGGGATCTGAGAGACTGCCTCATAACACATGCATTATTATTTTGTGGAACTGCAACCTTGTGTGATCCATTATTGTGGTGAAGTCAAACCAGTTGTTTTTCCATATAATTTAATAGCCACTTGTGGATTCTTTAAAGATTCATTTTCATATATTTCACTATGGTACAAGGGAATTAGTGCGAGTGTAATCCGAAGTGAGACTTCCAACACAGTATAGGCCAAAGAAAAACGGGGAAATAAGATAAACCAACCCAAGTGACCCAAGTGATTTTAGGCAGATGAGTGCTGTGAAATGGTAATTTGACTTTTAGAATTTGTTTATATATCAAATGAAACAAACTTGTTCCCTAAAATCCACAGAAACATGCTTTAAAATGCACGTCACGAACATTTGAAAATTAATTGTAATCTGGCATCCATTAACCGCATAGCAATCTTTCTAGGTTGGATTAATGATATATTAATAAACTCAAGGTTACTCCTTAGGCCAGTTAATTGTGCCGCGGCAGCAAGTTTAATCAAACCAGAATACATATTACTAATGCAACCAATAGTTACTATGCTAGTGGTATTTAATAAATTATCTGTTTACTTCAGTTGATTAATATTGTGCATATTGTATCTTTCTCCACTTCGTTTCTGTCACAAGGTGCGTGTGATCAGCTTCATTGGAGCTATACTCCAAAATCTAAAAGCTTATTCGTTTATTACAAAGGAGTGGCAAATGTTAAAATCGAAGCCGTTGGAATGATTATAATTATTATACACAAAATATTGATCAACATAAGAAAATAGAAAAATTAAAATCATTGTCATAAAAATGGTTATTTAATATACACAGATATCGATGTGTTGATATAGGAGGGCACTTAGAGGAGGGCATTTTCCAATTTCAACTGAGATTAGATTCAACAAAAAAAGGTCAAATTCATTGAAAGGTGTCTACAAGCAAGTAATAATAATAATGCCCAAATTCCATTTGTCTTCCTGATGCATTGAAGGGACAATGATACTTGTTTGTGTTTGATAATGAAGATACACCAATAATAGTCCCTCTTTAACAAAACTAGTTTTGAAATGTGTAGGGCCTAATATAACTTAATTTATAGTATTAATATTAGCAGGGGATATATTGGGTCCTGCCCCCCCCCCCTCCACCAATAAAAAAAAAA